TACCTCCACCGCGCGCTGTTCACACCCCGCCGGGTGGAAGGTGGCGCCGGTTACAAGCTGTCTAGCCAGATGTGTACACCACCGGCGCCGTTCCGCACTGCTACCGAGCCTGCGACACACAGGGGCGCTTGGTCAGGTGCTGCCATCTAGATTGAGATGGCTAGTCAGGCCTCGCGGGGTGGCGGGCCGTCGCTGTGTGCTTGCCTGTGTGCTGGCCACGGAGGCGAGCAGATATGGATGCGAATTGCGAGCGAGTGAGCGCGAGTGAGGGGCGAGTGAGCGCGCTGGTGTGTCGCCGGCGGCGAAGGCAGGTTGTGTTTTGGGTGAGGGGGAAGATGGGCGCGAGGAGTTGCGGGGGCCGCGGTGCCGCGTCGGTGCTTTTTCGATCGGTTGCAGGGCCATAGCAGCTATTCGTCTTGAGCTGCTGCTGTGTGGCAGAGCCCAGAGCAGGGAGAGGTCGAGGGCGAGAAGGCCTACTTCGTGCTCCATCTAGGGCCGCCCGACCCGCCGAGCTGCGTGAGGCAGCGCGCGTCGGTCGGCTGCAGCTCGTCCCAGCTCGCCTGGTCGGTGTGCCGGTGTGTGTGCCAGTCCGCGCCAGTCCGCGCCCTTGTCGTGCCCGTGTGCTGTGAGAGAGGCTTGTTTTGAAGATTCTAAAGCCCCGACGGCGGTGGAGCTGATCCCCAGCGCTGTGGGGAGATGTGGGGAGGTGTGGGGAGGTGTGGGGAGATGTGGGGAGGTGTGGGGAGGTGTGGGGAGGTGTGGGGAGATGTGGGGAGGTGTGGGGAGGTGTGGGGAGGTGTGGGGAGGTGTGGGGAGGTGTGGGGAGATGTGGGGAGATGTGGGGAGATGTGCGGAGATGTGGGGAGATGTGGCGAGATGCGGGCAGGTGTGGGGAGGTGTGCCCAGGTGTGGGGAGATGTGGGGAGGTGTGGGGAGGTGTGGGGAGATGTCGGGAGATGTGGGGAGATGTGGGGAGGTGTGGGGAGATGTGGGGAGATGTGGGAAGGTGTGGGGAGATGTGGGGAGGTGTGGGGAGGTGTGGGGAGATGTGGGGAGGTGTGGGGAGGTGTGGGGAGATGTGGGGAGGTGTGGGGAGATGTGGGGAGATGTGGGAAGGTGTGGGGAGATGTGGGGAGTTGTGGGGAGATGTGGGGAGGTGTGGGGAGATGTGGGGAGATGCGCCAGGCTCATGCCGAGCATCGTCTGCAGCCGCAGCGTCGCCAGCTCGAGCGGCCTCCTCCCCCAGCCGCCGACAAGCGGCAGCTCATCGAAAGCGGAGCGGCGCACCTGATCTCGAGGTGATCTCGGCTGATCTCGAGGTGATCTCGCCATCTACGGTGAAAAGGGAGGGAGGGAGAGGGAGGGAGAGGGAGAGGGAGGGAGAGGGAGGGAGAGGGAGGGAGACGGAGGGAGAGGGAGGGAGGGAGAGGGAGGGAGAGGGAGGGGAGAGGGAGAGGGCGAGAGCGAGAGCGAGAGGCGTGTGGGAGAAGTCGAATCGCCTTCCCATCGCCGTCGAGGTCGAGGATGATGCCGTTGAAGGTTGGCCGGCCCGCCCTCTGGCCCTGCGCGAGCGCGGCCTCGATCCACTCGTGCTTGCCGCCGGGGTTGCCCAGGTAGCCGGTGATGACCGCCGGCAGCGTGCGCCACGCGCCGAGCCCGATGAGCATGCCTAGTACCATACCTCCAGGGTACCGAATCCAGCATGGGTTGCGGTCCCGTGGGTGGTGTGGCAGCAGGAGCATGCCGAGCAGCTTTGCGTACGGGCTGAGGCTGGCATCGTCGGGCCTGTCAGCAACACGCACCGTGATTTCTTCTCCTTCGTCGCTACTGCTCACACCAAGAAGGACGCACACCTCGCACACCTCGCACATCTCCCCATATCTCCCCATATCTCTCCATATCTCGCGGGCCTCCAGCCCCTCGAGCAGCCAAAGGCGCGGCCGGCCTCGCCCGACTCGTCGGCTAACAGCTCGATCTCGGCCGGCAGCTCGAGCATCTCGGAGAGCCTCTCGACGCTCGACGGCTTGCCATTCACGGTGCAGAGCACGCGAGAGACGCCTTTTGCGCGGAGCGCGGGCAGGTAGTAGCGCAGCCGCTGCGCGTACTCGATCATATTGAAGTCGGCCGGGTAGGTGCCAAGCACGACCAGAGACGTGCCCGGAGCCTGGAGCGCCTCGCCGAGGTCGACACTGCCGCCGCCAGAGGCGAGAGGCAGGGAACCGACGCCGGAGAGAGCGCGAGTGCCGACGCCGGCGATCGGCGCGGTTGCGACGAGGCCGTGCGTTGCTGCGAGGAGTGACAACAACATTCTCTCACGGACCGAGGAAAAAGAATTTGCTGACTGGGTTGTGTGTTTTCTTTCTTTCTTTTTCCGACTGACTGCTCTCGCCACTCGCGGCGCCAGGGCGCACCGATCCCGTCACGTCTCGCGCGCTGTGAGATGCCTTTCGACGTGTGTGCGCTCGCCAGAGACGCGAGGATGCTTGCTTTCCATGCCTGCGAGTTATGACATATGAGCCCCACGGTACACACTGGGGTGGGCTAAGTACCCCGCCTGACACTTGGACTTGCCCTCGCCCGCCTTGCCTCAGTGCAGCAGCCCGTTCTTCTTATTGGCCTTCTTGCCCGCCGCCTCCGCGTCGAACTTGTTTGCCTTTGCGCCCTGCTTGCGCAGCCGCGTGCCCTGCTTCTTCTCGAGCTTCTCCTTCTTCATCGCCTACGCAAGTAAGTAAGGAGCTGAAGAACAGCCGGGCTCGCGGACGGGTGGACGCACATCTCCCCATATCTCCCCATATCTCCCCATATCTCCCCATATCTCCCCATATCTCCCCATATCTCGCGGACGGGTGGACGCAGGACAGGAGGTGACGGCACGCTCGAGCGACACACAGACACACACAAGCTCACAAGACACTCATCCCAGCTGGGCTGCCACACATCCCGAGTGAGCGTGCGGCACTACGCCGCTCGCCTCCTGCTGCTTCTTGGACAGCCCCTGCGGCGCGCGTGCGTCCTCCCCCAAAGCCTCCGCCTCCTTGCGCCTCTGCGAAAGGGGCCGGGGGGGGGGGTGGGAAGGCTCAGGCCGGCTGGGGAGGGGCGTGGTGCGACTGGCATTGAGATGGCCATGGTAGACTCTCGGAAGAGTCTCGGAAGAGTCTCGGAAGAGTCCCGGAAGAGTCCCGGAAGAGTCCCACCTGCTCACGCCACTGTCGATCCGCCTCCGCCTGAGACGCAGAGGCGCGGGAGGCGGCGGCGTGAGACGCAGAGGCGCGGGAGGCGGCGGCGTGAGACGCAGAGGCGCGGGTGAGGCGGACTTGCGGCGAGGGGAGCGTGTGTGAGGCGGTCTTGAAGCGAGGAGGAGAGCGTGTGTGAGGCGGTCTCGAAGCGAGGAGGAGAGCGTGTGTGAGGCGGTCTCGAAGCGAGGAGGAGAGCGTGTGTGAGGCGGTCTCGAAGCGAGGAGGAGAGCGTGTGTGAGGCGGTCTTGAAGCGAGGAGGAGAGCGTGTGTGAGGCGGTCTCGAAGCGAGGAGGAGAGCGTGTGTGAGGCGGTCTTGAAGCGAGGAGGAGAGCGTGTGTGAGGCGGTCTTGAAGCGAGGAGGAGAGCGTGTGTGTGAGGCGGTCTTGAAGCGAGGAGGAGAGCGTGTGTGAGGCGGTCTTGAAGCGAGGAGGAGAGTGTGTGGCGCCTCCTCTGCCAATTTGATGCGCCGTAGCCTCTCCGCCTCTTTGTCGACCCCACCGCTCTCCTCGCTGCTGCTCTCCTCCCCCTCCCCCTCCCCCTCCCCCTCCCCCTCCTCCTCCTCCTCGCTGCTGCTGCCGCCGCCGCCCTCGCCGCCCTCGGCCCGATCCACGAGGCAGTACCGCCGGATCGTCACGCCAACCTCGTTGACGCCGTCGTAGCCCTCGACGAGCTCCGGCACGAGGTTGAGCAGCTCGGTGTACTTTGTCTCGCACCACGCCAGCACCCGCTCGATCGCAAACGGCCCGCCCGCCGCCGGCGCCGCCAGGCTGTACTTGGTGAGGATCCCGCCCCAGAGCTCCGCCACGCGCGCCGCCGCGGCCGCCTGCAGCTGCGCGGGAAGCGCGTCGCCACTCACCTCGACGCGCACGCACTCGGCCGACGCGGATGGCCCGTCGATGAGGAGCCGCACCCTCAGGTCGTCCACGTCGAACGCCTCGGCCGACGCCGGCCGGGCTATCGTCCGCTCGACGCCGATCGGCAGCGGCGCGGTCGGCGTGCCGGCGGGGGCCTTCGAGAGTTTGATCGCGCCGCCCCAGCGGGACTTGGCCGCCAGCACCTCTTGCTGCAGAGCCTTCTTGAGCTCGGTGTGCATTGGCGGCGCTGGCGGCGCTGAACTGCGCCGGCGAATCACCAAAAAATGGCACGCGCTCCCCGACCCTGGATGTGAGCCAGCGGAGAGAGACTGCGACTCTGCAAGGGGCCCCTCCAATCTCCTGCCCCACCGCTTGGTAGCAGGTAGCATCGAGGGGTGGCCTTGTCTCCCACGTCGATGCGGGCGTAGGGGTTGAGTTGAGTAGTGCGTCATCTTGAGGAACGCTAGACTCGACTCCCTCTCGGAGATCGACGCCGCCCGACCGCCGGAGATCACCGGAGATCACCCGAGATCACCGGAGATCACCGGAGGTCTCGATGTCGCGGCGACGACGATCTCGACGGGGCCCTGGCGTGGTTGGGCGTTGTGCCTCCCCACGCCCTGGGACAGACAACACATGCCAGGGCCGACAGACACATCACGACACACATGAACAGAACACGCTGCGTGAAAGCGGGGGAGTGAGACTAGTCGTCTCCTCAAGTCGTCTCTCCAATGAGACCCATGAACAAAGAGAGCCGATCCAACTCGTTGAAGATACATCTCGTGAAGCTGGCGTCGCTTCAACCGTGGACAGGGCCGATCCTCACAGCTCAGGCTGAGCTGGAGATCCAAGGAGCCGCCTGCTCCTGCCCGCCTCCGCCCAACCGACTATGCGGTGACGACGACAGCGGAAACTCGGCGCGAGCCGAGCCCGCGACCACGGAGGGAGATGCTATAGAGAGAGTGAACACTGGTAGCGTGTTTTGATCGGAATCAGCTCTGAGCCATGAACATCGCCAGGAAGAGGGCGGGTGGGGGCGATTGAATCATGGCGCGAGGCGCGCTGGCTCCATGGCAGCACGTTGAAGCAAAGCAGGTGGGGACGAGGACGCGCGTAAGGACGCGTCGCCATCTCTGCTGTGAATAGAGGGAGAGTGCTGCAGCGTTGGAACCGTAGCTCGGCGCCTCGCCCTCAGCAGAGCGGGCGAGAAAAGCTGAAGCTGTTCGCGCCACCTCTGCAATAGTCGTCTCCTCAAGTCGTCTCTCCAATGAGACCCATGAACAAAGAGAGCCGATCCAACTCGTTGAAGATACATCTCGTGAAGCTGGCGTCGCTTCAACCGTGGACAGGGCCGATCCTCACAGCTCAGGCTGAGCTGGAGATCCAAGGAGCCGCCTGCTCCTGCCCGCCTCCGCCCAACCGACTATGCGGTGACGACGACAGCGGAAACTCGGCGCGAGCCGAGCCCGCGACCACGGAGGGAGATGCTATAGAGAGAGTGAACACTGGTAGCGTGTTTTGATCGGAATCAGCTCTGAGCCATGAACATCG